CATACATACATACATACATACATACATACATACATACATACATACATACATACATACATACACACATACACACATACACACACACACATACACACATACACACATACATACATACATAGATAGATAGATAGATAGATGCGTACATACATAGATACATACATACATACATACATACATACATACATACATACACATACACACATACACACATACACACATACACACATACACACATACACACATACACACATACACACACACATACACACATACACACATACACACATACACACATACACACATACTATATACATACATACATACATACATACATACATACATACATACATACATACATACATACATACATACATAGATATATACATGCATGCATACATACATGCATACATACATAAATATATACATGCATACATACATAGACACATACATTGCATACATTGCATTACACTACATACATACATGCATTACATACAATACATACATTACATACAATACATACATTACATACATTGCATACATTACATACATTACATACATTACAAAATAATACATACATTACATACATGACAACAATGACATACATTACACACATTACATACATTACATACATTACATCCATTACATACATTACATACATTACATACAGTAGATACACTACATACATAACATACATTACACACATCACGCACATGATGCACATTACATGCGGTACCTATATTGCACGCATTGCATACAATGGATACGTTGCATACATTGCACACATTACACACATTACTTACATTAGATACACTACATACATTGCATCATTACACACATCACATACATTACATATACTCCATACATACCATACATTACATACATTACATACATTACACACATTACATACATTACATACATTACATACATTACATACATTACATACATTACATACATTACATACATTACATACATTACATACTTTACATACATTACATACAAACCATACCAACCATTTATACCATACATACCATACATACCTTACATACCCTACATACCATACATACATTACATACATACCATGCCATACCATGCTATGCCATGCCATACCATACCATACCATACCATACCATACCGATACATACATGTCTGCATACATACATTTATACATACATACATACATACATACATACATACAGACATACATACATGCCTGCATACATACATACATACATACATACATGCCTGCATACATACATACATACAGACAGACAGACATACATACATACATACATGAGTACATGAGTACATGAGTACATACGCACGCTCAGACACAGAGACAGAGACAGAGACGGAGACAGAGACAGAAACAGAGACAGCGACGGAGACAGAGACAGAGAGAGAGACAGAGACAGGCAGACAGGCAGAGACCTACCTACCTACCTACCTACCTGCCTGCCTGCCTGCCTGCCTGCTTGCCTGCCTGCCTGCCTACCTACATACACACGCAGAATAATATATATATATATATATATAGGTATGTGCAGATAGCCCTGAGTTGCCAAGGTTCTTTCCTCAGCCGCGCCAGGCGAACGTCAGTGCCTCCAGCAGTGGACGACACTGAGGCCCTCTTGCAGCCTCCCAGTGGAAAGTGAGGGAAGGTTGCTGGAAGAAATTGCTCGTCAGCTTCGTATTGGAACCGGAGAGACGCCCGGAAGTTGGATGCAGACAGGAAAACTGAGGATGTGCCTCAGGCCCCTTGGCTTCGAACATTGACAGGGTTGCCCCCATCCAAAATGGGCTGCTCTCCTCAATTCCGGGGTCCGCGCTCGATCCAATTTTTGGATCGCGCCCAGGCCCGCAGGAAACCGAAGGAGCCCCAGAAATCCATCGGGTGCTCCGAGACATCCGAAGGCAACCCCCGGCTGGCGCCCTGAAAAAAAAATTGCCTCGTACTCTGACATGTTTTGACCAGAGGGGGTGTCCAAACAAACCGAGTCAGTTGCCGAGTGGCACTTATATTAGTATTATGCTCCTTTTCTTTTGGGATGGCTTTCCGTTTGAAGCCAAACAAGAAAGGGTCGAAGGGGTTAGTTATCCATCCTTTTGTCGATGGCTGTGGCAAGGAACTTCAAGTTAAAGTTTCAACCGGCACTAGAAAGTGGACTTTTACCCACAGAATTGGAAGCCCGTTTCTTTTGGTTGTCCAACTGTGGCTCTTTTGGTTTTTCTTCAACCACCCTGAAAAGGGTACCCAGCCTAACGCACAAAGCACACACCAAAGGGACCCTTCAAGTTGGGGTTCCTGAATTTGAGATACACCCGTTTGGGCTTGCAAAAACACGGTGAAACCCTGTTCGACGCTTCGCTTCGCGAGGTGAAGAAGTTGCAGGCTGAGTTGGAGCAGATGAAAGCCGAGCCAGGGGCTCGGGTTATCTGCTCTTTGTGAAGGTTGGGGGGGTTGGGGGGTGGGGGAGTTGTTGTGGGGCGGGGGGGTTGGGGGGTTGGGGGTGGGGGGTTGGGATTGGAGGGGTGGGGGGTTCCCTTCATTTTTGTTGCTTGGCGTTTGGGGGGAGGCCACTTGAGTGACTTTAGGGGTAACTCCATGTTAGTTGGCTTTTAAGGAACCCACAAGGAAGCCACCCATATGGGTTGTGCGTCCCTTGCATTTAGGGGTGTTCCACCAAGGCAGTCTATAAGTGGTACATATGTTACAACAGCCTATGTTGAAATATGTGTGCTTTTTGACGCTACCCTGCTTACATGTTAAATGGTTCCAAGTCCCTATTTTGAGACAAACCCATCTTGTTGATCACCAGGCCAATGTGGGGGTGAGGTCCAGCCGATAAAAATTGCGCACTCGCCAAGGGCAGACGCGAAGAAGAAGGACATGGACCGGTTCTGCTCCATCTTTCAGGCCCTCAATCTTAGATTAGCTGGTCGATCCATGGACGCGTCGCTCAACACGTCGCTGCATTTTCTAGCTATGTAAGGGGTATATGGGTATGTGTCAAAATGGGGGGACCCAACAAATGTTGTTCCTTTTTTGTTGGTTTCTCTTTAAACCAACCCCTTTCTATGGTTTCTATGGTTTCTACAGTTTGTATTGGTTGTATGGATTCTATGATTTCTAGTTTCTATGGCTTCCGCAGTTTCCATTCTTTTGGATTCTATGGTTTCTACGGTGTCCATGGTTTACATGGTTGTTTCGGTTTCCAATGCTATCATGGTTTTGATGATGGTTTTTACGCCTTTCATGGTTTGTATCGTTTCCAGGGTTCCATCGTTTTGATGCTTTCCACTGTTTCCACGATTTTCATGGTTTCCATGGTTTCTATGGTTTCTATGATTTTCCTTCATTCTGTCGTTTCTATGGCTTTTCCATGGTGATCGTTGTTTCCAGAGATCACTTTTCAGACCATGGGGCCAGAGCGAGAGAGAGTGTGTGTCTGTGTGTGTGACGCTGATGGGTCGGTTGGTCCGATTTGGTCTTTGTGTCGGAAAATGATCGCCCTTTATATCCGTTTGTTGTAGATTTATCGCCAGTTGCGAACCCAAGTGTGGCAGAATGATCATACAATTATCGCGATTTCGACCCACACCTTGTAAAAATATGGCCAATTGAGGTCGATGTGTCGGGAAACGATCGCCAGTCGTGTCTGTGCGTTTCAAAATGATCGCGAATCGGTATAACATGGTGGCCCTCCCACCAAAGTGGGCGCGAAGATCGCGCCAGATCTTCGGCTTGGACGTGAACGCTTCGGTGGAGGACGCGAGGCACGCGGGATGCTTTGGCGAGAGGTAGCGTGGCATTCAAGTGTAGTATGTGCTCTTCTCAGTGTGACAAGTGGTATGTCTGCTTGTCTGTCAGGGTTCTTCTAGAACTGAACATCAATTCAGGCGGCGGACGTCTCTAAGTTAGGTACCACCCAAACATCTTAGTGCCAAACATTCCCATATTTTTTCCTTAACTAACCGCCAATTTTTTTTCCTAGTAACTGGGCTCCAGGAGCTTCTTCGAGTCCTTGACGGCGCCTTCCGAGGACCCCTCCGAGGCGCCTGGCGGTCTCCGTGTCGTTTTCTAAAACCACGGCCAGTGGCTGAAAGCGGAAGACCGGTCTTGGGGTTCAGGAGACATTCTGAACGTGTTTCAACAAGTCCGGTAGTTCCAGGATGTAGAATGATTCGGTGCTAAGACATATGACGCCATCTTAACTGTCTGCTTTCATAGCTTCATTTCAAAGAATCAAATAACACATGAAGTTAACTGAGTCGTTTCTGGATGCAAGATGAAAAGCCACAGGAATCCGTTTCTCAGATTCTTGAATCTTGCATCGTTTGGGTGCACAATTTTCTCGAATTACTCTGCCCAAGTGATTTCCGTGCACACCGCATGCACTTCTAAGTTCTAAGCGACAGCCAAGCTCAAAGAGTTTCAGCACCACGGACTTTCCTTCGAAACTTTCTTGGATGAGCCAGTGACTACCATTTCTCGGTGCGTTTGACTGAGTGCGGACTCGACTTGTTTCATTTTGGTTTGATTTTCATTTGCCCTCTAGCTTTCCAAAACCAACCAGTCACCAGCCGCGAAGAGGGTTCCTTTTTTCCATCGCTGGGTCTCAGATTATATGTCAACTTTGAGGTTGACTAAGAAAGAATCTGCAAACCTATGTTTGTCCTCTGCGGGTGGCTGCTCGCAGGCGAACAAGCTGCGGGCCCAAAATGCCGCCCTACTCAAGACTCAGAAGAAGCTTGAGGAGGAGATCGAGCAGCCGCTTGGATGCGGGCGGACTCCGCCTTTTGGCTTCAGGTTTGGCCAACATGTCCAGTCTATGGTCCGTTTGGGAGGCACTTGGGGAACTCACCAAATTTCTCATGTCCCCTAGGAAACCTGGCATTTGGACCATGGCTAATTCCGCTTGACTGATTCAAAATGGGTGGGTTTCATCAACCTAAACAAGTTGCCTCTTTTGGTAGTGGTCCCGACGCTGTTTTACCTTTGGGGTCAGTTTGACATGAGTTCCCTTTGGAGTTGTAAAGAGAACATTTCTATGGAATGGATGACCTCAAACGGATCAATCCTGCACTAACCCAGTTTCCAAATGGTCTGTTCCAGGTGAGCTACTCAAATGGGAAGGCGAATGGGGAGATGTTTTTTAATAGTATGCGGCTGTGTCTTTTTTTAGGGACGCACCAAAATTGCGGTTTTACTCCCACCAAAAATAGGTCACCCTCAGGAAAAACACACATGCACAATGAATGGATTGACAGTTCCCATTGGACCTTCGGGTTGCATTTTGGGATTTTCATTCCAAACAGGGTGGGCCAGATCAGTTCCTAAAGCGCAAGTGGCCTTTGTTTTTTTTTGAGTTTCCTTTCGGCCATGAAGGACCCCAAGGCTGGGTTTGGTGGTTTATCAACCAGTATTCAGAGAGCTCCATCCGTTCCCGACTGGTGCGAATGGAATTTGTCCATCCGCAGTATGTGCCATGGTCAAAGGACCCCTTTACATTGGTTGCCAGGGATTGTCTTGGATTGTCATCGACCTCTCAACGATAAGAATTCTTACCAAGGGAATCACGACCATGTCCCACAAGGAGCTTGCCCTTGGCACGATTGTGTCTGCATACAAGCATCGCAGAGCGCCCAAAGGAAACTCGAACAAAGGGCACATCTATACAACTAGAAACCTTTGGGGAAACCTGCGGAACCTCAAAATAACCTTGATGTAAGTAACCAACACCCAGGGGTACGGGGGATCCCTTAGGTATATAGATTTTCCCTTAGATGAAGCCGCAAGAAGAAACACAGCCACTCCCTGTGTTCAGGAGTTGAACGGTCGTTGGTTCCCTTGATCGGGAAGACACATCTGGCAGTGTGTGCCCGTGGAACCACAAATCATGGCATGATTTGGCTTTTCTGTGGGTTTTACACAGAAGTTCCATCCTGCACCCTTTGAAAAGGCAATTCGATTCCTTATACGCCCCTGGTGAAAGGCTTAATTCAAGCGCACCCACAGCAAACTCCTTCAACCCAAGCAAGGCTACCGCCAGAAAGGGAAAGATGACCCCTTCACCCAGAGGCTCAGCCAGCGGTTCAATTCTCCGATTCTCCTGTTTGGATGTTGAGGCTATCCTTTCTTACCTTGCTGTTTGTGGGAAACACGCGACCTCCCATTTTGGGGTGAGCCCAGATGGCAAAGCGGCAATTCAGAGAATGCAAAAAAACTATCGACTAGCTTTCATAGACCCCTTGGATACCATTTCTCAGCTCATTCTGCGTGGTCGGAGGTTGCAGCGCAAAGAATCAAACGGCCCCAATCTCAACTATTCAGCGGCCCCTTTTTGGAATTGTCTGACAGATTCTTAAGGTGGCTCCATCACAACGTCCACCAACCTGCCTTATTTGGGAGCCACAAAATGACATCGGGCCAGAGTCCAAACATGTCATTTTTAGCTAGGGACAAAAGCGGAGTTGGCTGATGAGATTGTTGAACCAGCAGTGGATGATTGTTTAACAACAGGGTGCCCTTTATTTGCCATTTGCAGGGTATATGGGTATCACCTTGGTTTAGCCAACTCCATTTGAGGGGATTCAAGAGGCGCCCCTAAGGGCACTCTGAAAGACACACATCGCTTGAAGCCCATCCAACAAGCATCATTTTCCAACTGCACAACCGTGTGGTTTTCTGTGTGCGCAGAAGGCCGAAGGTGTTTTGATTATGTTCAATCAGCAGCAAATAAGGCCATGTGCCAACAGGTAGTCAATTCACGGTTCAAAGCGCTTATGCTTTGACTTGTTTTGCTTCTTTTTTTCCGAGAATTGTTTCAAACGGGTTGCCAAGAACAGTTCGCCTTTTTGCTCCTCCTACGTTACACGGCGGTTGGGTTCAGCTGGATTAATTCCCATGCCCACAGGTTCAAGAAGAAGAACCTCGAGGAGACCTGCCGAAAGCTGCAGCAGCAAGTGCAGGCGCGGGAACATGGGACGGCGGATTCCGATTTTTTTTCAGTCCCGAGGCATATGGCTGTGGTTGTCAAAACCGTTTTGGGATCCCATTTTGGGGCAGGTGAATTCACCACCCATTTTAGGACCTATTTTAGTGGGGATTGGGATGTTCACTGGGGGTACTGGCTTTTGACCGGTGGCCATATCTCGAGTCGGAAGCAGCTTGGCCATGTTCAAGGGCTTGCTTGAGTGGTGCACTGTTTGGGTAACAAATGTCATGCCCCCGGTTCTGTAAGACGGTGCTGTGCAGAAGCTTGCTTGATTGGGGTCGAGGCGCTTAAATGCTGACCCTTCGACATGGCTTGATAGAGAGTTGCCCCTTTTTTGAAGACGGCACCTGTCTTTTTGGCTAGGAGCCATGTGGACCAAGTCATGTTTCGAAGAGAGTAAAATGAATCTGACCTTCCAGACACGCACTGACTTTCCAGTGCTATGGAGCTTAGATTCATAGAAACCTGGATGCCCCCCTTTTCCTCCTTGCAGGATGTTTTAGCCGGGGGAGCCACGTAAAGCTCCAAAGTGCTCCAATTACTCATGACATTCCACTTGAGTTACCCGTTGCTTCATGGTCGGCAACCAAACCGTAGGCCACCTTTGCCGGGCTTTGCTCAGGATTCCGTGGATCCCACCTTTGTGGTTCCTTCTTTTTGGCGCGGGTGGTCCTTTTGAACTGTGAGTTAGGGTGGGAATCTGGGGGAGTTCGGGGTGGATTGGGGGCAATTTGGAGGTTTTGGGGGGCAATTTGGAGGTTTTGGGGGATGGCTGAGGTGATTGGGGGGTTGTTTTGCGTACCCTCCCGCTCACTAACATGGCAACTGACACGGGGGTCCCTTCAAAAGCGATTTCTTCCCCGTCTTTTGGGACCCGCGCACCAGGACCTGGAGGAAGAGATGCAGAAGCTGAAGCGCTGGCCCCGGCAAGTGTGCCTCTTTTTGGTGCATAGTGGCTTGTGACTTGTAATGTGCACAAACGCACGGTTACATATTATATATATATATACATACATATACATATGTGTGTATTGCACACATATATATATATATATATGTCTATATATATATATATATTATACATGCAACTCCCCCCTTCGTTGCCCAGTCTTTTCTTGATTTGCGCAGGCCGTGTTTGAGCAGACCGGCTGTAGTCAGCCGACTTCTACATAGGCTTGCAGTCCATACTGTGCTCTTTGGTGCTAATGAGATATGAACGCATTTGCTATAGTTTTGAACAGGGAGCAATAAGCATTCCAAGCAACATGTATCAACCTGTACACATGCTAGAAGCCCCGGGAAGCTATAGAAGCTGGACCAACACAACAACAATTAGGTACTCCTTGCAGAAAAAGAACAGATACCATTTTCTCTGTTTTTAAGTACTGGTGTTTAGCTTTATCCAATATTGCTCCCAAAAGTCGACCAATGAGCAAATCAGCGAAGCAAGATTTCGTCGCCAGGTGGAGGTTGGTAAGCCCAGCCCATTTCAGCCATCGTTTCGCATCATTTAATTGGTTAGCCACTGCAATGTTCAGATCTTTCGTAGTTTTGGCAAGGACCAGCTTCCCATCACAGGTGCCTTTTGGGTTCACTCCTTGGGCAAAGCGACAAAGGGCCGTGATGGTTCGTCGGTTCAGGAAGATGTCCACTCAGACCATGCCGGCCGGCAAGGACAAAGGCGCGGCTCCCGAATGAACACGGCCGCTGGGAATCCAATGGGGTCCCTGGTTTGGCAGAATCCGCCTATCGGTTGGGATCGCTCGGGTTCCCCAGATTTTTTTGTCAGGCACAGGAAGGCTTCCTTTTGCTAAGCCAGGGTCACTGGGTTAGTAAAGGGTTCTCTGCTGTTTCTTCGGCGTTTTGAGGCTCAGCGAATCGGTCGCCTGAAAGGGAAGGTCTAAAAGAAAGGCCAGATGTTGAGGGACGGAACCAGGGCCAGCCGTGCCCAAACCGGGTGGGTGGGTGGGGGGGGGGGGGGGAGAGTTTCTCTGTTTTGCACACAGGTGACCTTCAAGCAATCATATGTTTCAGGCAATAAGTTGGCCTAACGCCCTTCTTACTTACACATCAGTGCGAGTGGAGAAAGAGCCATGGCTGCTTGTGCTTACTGGATTGAGTAAGACTAGGATATATTTTGAATTTCCTCAATATCCATCACTTGATAGTTCCTTGTCGGTTCCGAGATAGACCCAGGGACATATCCCTTGGGATTTTCCCCCCCCTGTAGGAGAGGGGGGATTTGGAGAGTCCCGATTGGTGGATGGCAAAAACACTTTTTGGCACGGCCCAATTGTGTATTGACGCCTCGTCCTGGTTAGACTTCTTGTTGGAAAAATGGACATGTGTTAAGTATTTCTTTTGGCATAACAATCCAAGCTCACTCTGGGCAAATTCAAGGAATTGACGCCATAGAGGTTTTTGGCTTAGGACCTTGAAGATGATTTGGTTTTGTCGCCCTTGCTTTGGCTTCGTGACTTGTATGATGCTTCGCTCAACTCCTTCACATCCTTGCTTTGTTGGATTTGCGAATCCTGTTGTGAACCTTTGCCAACATCTCGGGCCTTCGAGGAAAAAATGGCGCCAGGCAAAGACGACCTCTCAAGCAGGAATGCGGACCTTGAGAAGCCTTGGGCTCGGGATGGGGTGTGGACAAAGACAGGCGTGTTTTTCACCCTTCTAAGGTTGGTTTTAAATGGAAGCCAAAAAGAACGCCGCCATGTTTGGGGTCCAAATTCCTATTTTGGACATGTCCATATAGAGGTCCCTGTGCCAGACTTGCAGACTCAAACCCAACAAAGAAGGTGGCTGCAGAATGTTTTCTCTTTTATTGTGCAAGCCGAGTTGCCTAGCAAACTCAAGGTTGCATATTTTTGTTAGTTAAGGTCCTTCGCGGACTACTTTATTGAAAGTCATCAGGTTTGCTGGTGTTTTCAGGAAGCAATTTGTATTTGTTTTTCTCTCTCTCTCTCTCTCTCTGTCTCTCTGATGAATCTAGACCTCACTGTTCTTCACATGTGTTTCATAGTTTTGCCTTTTGGATCCTCTGTGCATGAAACGGTTTGCTGGTATGGTGGGGTGTGTAACAGGAGCTTCCCCAGAAATCTTATCTCCTAATGGATTTCTTCAGAGCCTTCAGGATAGATACCCTAGGCCCTAGGCTTTAGAAGTTGCAGAACCAACCAGAGTCAACCACACGTTGATGGTACATTGCCATAAATTCGAGGGCTTCCTTGTTCCCGTTGCAATATTTGGGGCATTATTTGCGTCGAGTTTGTTTCAGCGCTGAGGCAGCTTGCTCTTCTGAAGAAGCAGATGGCGGACCAGAGCAAGGGAAAGGACGTGGCGCGCTAGAACTGTTGGCTGAGGAATCCAAAACTCGGGTCGGAATTCGGAATCTATGCAAGTGAACATGAGGGTTTTGTCCACTTCCGTTGGAACAAGGTACCCCATCGGACTCCATCTACCAAACAAGTCTGGGAAATCGCCATCCTTTCAGGGATCAAGTCCAGGTTTGAGATGGCTCTGGGTTTTGTATTGGGGGCCGGTACACTCTTGCCCTCACGTTAGGTAGGGATACACCAAAGTCTACACGCCAAAAGTAAAATCCCGAGCTGTACTTCCTCCGTTCTGAATCCAGGGACAATGGGACATGTGGGTGTTTCTCAAAAGCACAACATAGTTGATAAAACAAATGCTCAAAGGAAAACAATGATATCTTTTTGGTGGCGGGATGTTTTTGGTGGCTTCTGGATTCTGAATGTCCTGCTGAAAAGAGGTGAATCAATGGTTCGACCCTTGCTGGACCCAAAAGACCCCGAAGGTTGCCTTTTGACCCCCCTGTGTAGAAAGAGACAGGGATCTCCTCAAAAGCTTGTGGATTACTCCACTTCAATGCAGATGGTATTTTCGTCCTGAAACACAAAGTCAACCGACTAACCTTGAACTTGGCAGGATAAAAAAGGGGGCCTTCGGCTTTCTACCCTCAGAGCATCCCCATTGGGATACAGGTCAGGGTTCCATGCCAGGCCTTCCCGAGCCCAGCTTTTGACGCCACTTTGTGCTTCGCCAAAAGGCAAGCAATCTTTCAAAGCCCTCCGTCAGCATCCACGAATCCACAATTGGAGGGCAACGGCCAACTGTGGCTGAGGCGATGCCACCGCAGAGCACGTTGTGAGTCCTTACCCTGCTTTCCATAAACCGGACCATCCCAAGGATGCAGGCACCTCCTTACCCTTTGACCCTTTGACCCTTTGAGCCCTTGTGGAATCGGCGCTCGGCAGCGTTTGAGGTGGTGGCGGACCTGATGAAGCGCAACGAAGAGCTGGACCGAGAAAGCCAAGCGAAGGGTCCGAATCCAGATCGCCCACACGCGTTGGCCGTGTTAAAAGGTTCGGTTCCTGCCTGGAACGTTGGCTTATAGCAAGGCTGTACTGGGATGATACGCCTATAGAATCATGTAGAACCAAAGGTCGAGCGGGGGTTGGGTGCCGCTCAAGCAATTCTGTTTTGGTGCAAGACGTTCAAATTGGTAATTTTTCAGGGATGAGCAAATGGGCAAGAAACGGGTGGCGGCTTCGCCGCTGACCAACACCAGCAAGTTCGGGGCACATCATAGCCCGAATAATTCATATCAAGTGTCAAAAGCAAGTACATATCATTTGGGGAATTGGAATCATTTGGTAACCCACCACGACCACCACCAGCACAGCCACCACCACCACGACTACTTCTACTACCACTACTACTACTACTGCTACTACTACTCCTACTCCTACTCCTACTACTTGCCACCACTTCTTCTTCTTCTACTCCTGCTACTCCAACTGCTGATTACGACTTGCAATTTAGGATCCCGGGAAAAAGACTCATATGTCAGCTACGGAGTGTTTTCAGGATCCTTTCAGTTGTCTAGAGCGAATCGACCTCTTGATATTCTGGCTTCGCACTTGTAGGGGCTGATAAGGAATGGAGACCAATCCACTGTTGATGCCCTTTGCGCCCCGTGACTTGAACAGCCACTAGTCGGATGCGGGCAGAGCTGAATTGGGAGTTCTTCATAGGATCCCTTTGCCCGCCTCCCACAGAGTCGAGAGGGGTGTGGGTTGCTTTGAGGGTATCCCTTTTCGGGTTGTTTTGAATGTGGGATCCCAAGTTGGAAACGGGCCCAGTTTGCTGGACCCCCTGTCTATTGTGCATGGCCGTTGTGATCGATCGGTGCGGTGAGTACGACAAATTTCCGGGCCCTGCGAGGGTCTTGTTTGAGGAGAAACCAGGATCAACACCCTACCACATGGTTGTTGTTGGGAAACATTTTACATTTTTGCTTATCGTGGTTTAGTGGGAAATCCCCACTTAACTGCTAAAATTGTTTTTTTTGCTCCCCTTCCAACGTCGACCAAGACCAGCAATGGATCCCTACCAGCAATGGATTCCTAGCAACGGATCAGCCACTTTCCCACAACCAGGAGGCGGAGATCGAGAAGTTGCGGACGCAGCTGAGCA